CCAGCGGCGCACTTATGGGCGCAAAGCGCCCCACATATGCCGCTGGGGAAATATTTCATTATTCCCGCCGACTCGGGGAATAAATAGTATTTATTTTCATTTTCCGGGCCCTTATTTGTAAATTCCCCAAAAAACACAGCATATTAATGATTCAGAGATTTCAAGATATCAAAAATTCTAAATATTCACACATATAAATAAAAAATTTTTATAAAATTTTGGCGGCGCGTAATGCAAAACGAAAAATTAAATTTACGTGGACAAGATCATATCATAATACGAAAAGCTAAAGAATTTATTTTAAAATAAAATATATATAGTATGAAACATAACTTTAATATATATTCAGCTACACTTCTTTATGCTTTAAATGAGACTTACTACTACTAAATCTAATATAAGAGTATCTAGCAATTTTCCACGAAGCATAACCAAAAATCCCGCTTAATGCTAAAAATAGAATAATAGCGACAGCATAAACATCTAAATATTTGCTTCTAATAAAGCCCATTCTCGAATCAGGAGTAATCCAATCTCTCAATAAATTTTCATTATTAATTTTAAATCCACCATTTTCATCTTTAATTCCTTCATACTTTGCCGTATTCATCACTATTTCAATTAAATCAGCAGCTCTATACTTTCTTTTACTATTAACTCTTGCCAGAAATTGTAATCTTTCTGCATTCTTTTTAAAGCTTTCTTCATTTAATAATCTCTTAACCTTTGATACTATATCATCGACTGTTAAATTCCACCTTGAAATTCTCAAAGCTATACCAGCCAACTCTAACTTTTCAGCATTCTTAGGTTGATCACCCATTATAGGAAGCACGAGCATTGGTGTTGCAGTATACATAGATTCGTGACTACTAGACGCACCACCGTGACTTAAAAATACTTTGGTGTTTTCATGAGATAGTATAGCAAATTGAGGAGAGTATTTACTGATATGAATATGAGGATGATCATTATTTAATATAGTATATAGCTGGACGCTAGAATTAGTTAATTGAAGAGAATCCGAGGTATCCGTTTTCACAGTAGACCATATCACACCATCAATGACATCTTGTTTGATTAATTTAAGAAAAGATTTTAAAAGAGTGATAACGTTTTGAGGAGATATGTGCACAAAAGTCCCAAGAGCGAAATAT